AAACATAATATGCGGCGAAAATTTGATTGGCGAGCGAGGTTGTCTGCAGAAAATCGGTATATTTGCCCGTATGCGGCAGCGAGCATGGGGCATCTGAATGCTGTAAATCTGCAGTGAGCATGGCCAATCGTAACTACTTGTCATGTTGTGACGACGTTTGATGAATGCATAAAGGGTGGCGATGTTTGTGTTGTGTAATGTCACGTCCATGCGCGTCGATGCATGCAGAACGTGTACGTGGATGTTGGGAAGCACACAGCGGCTGAGGTCTACTTTTGCGAAGGTGTCAATGTCGGTGTCATAATGAGCAAGGCGTCATTCCATTCGTAGGTCTCATAAACTGCACGTGATGAACGCACTTGCGTGGTTTCAAGTCGTGAAATGGAGTATTGGGTTTATAAACTGCACGTGATGAACGCACTTGCGTGGTTTCAAGTCGTGAAATGGAGTATTGGGCGAGAGAGGTCAAAAAATATACGAAAAAAAAAAAATTCTAACCCCGTATGCAGCGAATGCATTCATTAATCAAGATGTAGGACTCATTAGACGAATCGTGATATAATATATATATAAATACGTTGCCACGACGAGTCCACATTATAAAAGTATCACTATCTTGGTTGGCTATCCCGAACAATTTATTTAGGTTGGCAATCCCGAACACTCGACGTGCACAATGGCCCTATGTGGACCAATAGTAGTTGATGTACATGCAGAAGGGATACCCGAAAAGCAATCTACACTAAAACCTAAACAAATCAAAGCTCCCGTGGGATGAGATCGTCCGACGCCGTAGACTACTGCTGTAGCAGTATTTTATCCCACCGAGAATAATGGATACCCGCGTTACACTAGAAGATGCTGCATGACACGTGTCTTTTTCACCCGTCCACGTGCATGCGTGCTTTCTACATACTGGTATGTAGATGTGTAGATATATCTCACCTTGGACAGCGGCCGCCCGATGATACCGAGATCCTTCACCATCGACGTGGGGCCTTCTCGCCTCTTCCTCGACAGGTCGCTAGAAACGCCCCCGTCTCTCCCACCCCAAGTCCTGCAACTGCTGCTGCTGCTACCCCTGCTCCTTCCACTACCGCCACTTGCACCTCTAATGGTACTGCTGCCTAAGCGCGTGCAGTTGTCGCTCGACAAGACATGATCCACGAAAGACCCCTCAGGATCTATCTGCTCAAGCACGGCCGTCGCGAACGCTTGCGGCGCGGCCGTGAAGAGCACCACCTCGAACATCTCGGAAACGGCCTCCAGAAACTCGCGCAAGTGCGGCCGCTTCCGTACGTAGACGCGTCGGGGTGTCTGCCCCTCGTTGCCCAAGTCTCCGCTTGCTCGTGCCGCGGCCCTCCTCATGCGTGGTACCAGCCCTCGGCTCCTCCTCCTCTCTTCTTGCGGTGGTGGTAGTTGGTGTTGGAAGCTCAGCATGAAGTCGAACCTCTGCTCCTCTCCCATTTCCCTGGCGTCTCCCCTGGCGAGGATTAGCGTCTCGTCGAGATCCAACACCAGAGTCTTGTCGGTCGCCCGCGCCCGGCTTGTTGGACACGCAGGAGGCAGCAGTCGTTCGTTATGCTCGGTCGTGCTGCTCCTGCTGGATGGCAGCAGTTTCCGACCCCAGCATGAAGTGCAAGTACGTGTTGTTGCAACCGCCGCGGCGGCGGATTTATCTGCAGCAGGGAGGGGAACAATTGGTGCTGTGGAAGCTGGGGCACCCTTTCCTAGCTCCGATGGCAATAGCGATGGCGATGGGGGCTTTGGTGCCGTGGTAGGACTGGCGGTGCCCTTACTCCCGCTGTACAAGCTCTCCAACTCCAACTGGAGCTTCTCTCCAAGCGCGAGAACGTACGCCCAGGCCATCAGCAACGGCAGAAGCATCGTGGAAGCAGCGGCGCTCCTGTTGGGATTGTTTCGTCTGCTGTTGGAAAAAGAAGGAGTGGACGGCAGTTGGCTCCGCAGCGTCCACCTGCACACCATGGCTGCCGATATGACCGGCACAGCAGCTGCTATCGCCTGGTCCGGGAATCTGCTCATGTGGTGCCGCTCGACTTCAAAAACGCCAACGCCCGCGGTTCCGTCTCTCAATATTTATAGTTATAGTTCCGTTTTACACGTCAAGGAAAGTCCGGACGGCGGAACAACACTTCGACGACACAACGTGCGATTCTGCCATTGATCGGAGGAGGGAAAAGGAGAGAACCGCTTCGGTGCCCTTGCGTGTTCCCTTTACCTGGCCCTTAGGTGGCCTTGTCAACAGGAGGTTCAAGTGTAAGGGGCTGCATTGACTGAATGCTTGTTGCTTTTCAGTAAAACGGACACGAGGTGCTGCCGCGCGGTCGAATCATCGAGATTTCCCATAACGGTCTTCTGTGTCACGGGTTGGAGAAAACGGCACGACTGCTGTGAGTGCTGATTTGAAATAAATGCTACACATGCTTTATATGTAAGTAAGATGGCCATCTCCGAAAGATAACCATCTCCGAACCATGACATGGCCAGTGACGAGATGAGAAGGCGTGGATCTCCATACATATCTCCATAAACAAATAGCCCGACATGCCGAAGCCTGCGGGAGGCGCAACAGTGAAATTGCAAGGTTGACTACGCGCTCCTTGGTCCTTATTGCTGTGCTGTGGGAACATGGTGCCATATGTGCATCTTCGTGATATCTCGCACACAGCAATTTTCGTATTCTTAGGGACTCGCTTCAGCAGTATCGTGAGTCTCCCGTGACGTGCGTATGCATACCACGAAGAAGTCCCGGCCGGCAAAATGCATGCGAAATATCGAAATTTTCGAAATTCAACTCCATCCAACAAGAGTGAAGCTTCGCTAACTTCAACGCGTACCTTTCGACTGAGTTCATATCTCGAATGGGTAGTCTTTCTGAGAGGTTATTTTTACTATAATTAAAAAACAGTGAACAGCAGTAGTCAGTGCAATCCACAACATGGAGGATATCGATGAGGCTCAGGTTTTAAGTTCGGGCTCAGCCACCAGCAGAGCAAAAGTGCATTTGATTGTATGAGCCCGTATGATATAATAGTGTGCGATAGCTTAGCAGGACTGCTGAATCGTTTTTTCTGAAAAATGTTATGAGCCCACATAACTCGGAACCAAATAACGGTGACTAAAGGGGACTAGCCCTGTCTCCGATGTGAGAAGATGCGGGGTAGTCGATTCAATTTATACATGCACAGCAGCAGCGAAAACCCATTTGCCTGCCGAAACATTCCTCCCGGCCTCGACCTCGATACCATCGTGTGCGGTACTGTATAAGAAAACACGCCCATCTCAAGTCGGCACGACTGAACCGACTCACTTTGACACTTCCACTTGTACCAGGTTGGTTCTCATCTCCCCTCCAAACACGAAAAAAAAGTGGCTTATAACGTTATTCCAGGTGGTCTGCAGTCGGGTCCAAGTCTTCAAAAATGCGAAAAAACGAGCCTTGATTAAGCAATCGAAAGGTTATAGCTCGCTGCAGATGGCCGTTCGAAACCATTCCCACTAAGGCGACCACGCTGACTCTTGCACGAACTACAAATACGCACTGCAAGTTGTACTTCCATGGCACCAACGGCCGATCTGCCAGACGTTTGAAACTTGCTGCAAGTGCACAAGGAACAGGTTCACTTCTGCTTCCTTCCATTCAATCTGTAGACGACGGTGGTTCGGCGACATGGACGCCCGCGTCGAAGCCGTCTCCCACAAAACCACCGAAAAGAACGAGCTTCTTGCCGCACCAAGTCAGCGTGTGCCCGTTCCTGCCCTCCACTATCGACTCTCCCGCAAATCCCATCCCCGCCTCGTTGACCCACTCTGTAGGGGCGAACCCACCCGCATCGGCCCCGCCACTCTCTGAACTCAACCTCCACAGGTCATCGATGTACGCCATGATGATCTCGCCACATTCCTCTTCCTCTTCCTCTTCCGCCCCGTCAATGACCATGCCGCCGCTGCTAAGCTCCACCAGCCCATACCCGCCGAACAAGAACAAATCGGCCCTGTTGTTGCTGCCAGTGTTTCCGTAGCGTTGCCTAGGTGCGACAATAGCAGCCAGCGAGCGCGGTGACGGCCCGACCCCGTCCAGCAAAACCGCCGACCACACACACCGGACCACCTCCCCTTCCTCGCCGTCGCTTGCACCACTGCCAGAACCCGGACCCAAAGCCACAGCAGCAGCGGTCAGGTGAAGCACCCACAGGTCGTTCAGCGGCATCGTTTCCTCCTCGAAACCGTCGGCGTGCCCAAGCCCCCCAAACAGAACCAAGGTTCCCGCCGAAGACGACGATGTGGTAGCACTGCCGTCCGCCGAGCATGCTGCAAAGGCGAGGCAGTGAGACGATCGGGGGCACGGGCTCGGGCCTGCTGCTGCTGCTGCTGCTGCTGCTGAGGTCGGGGGGGCATCACCGGCCTCCTTCCACGTCGCGGAAGTCGGGTGAAAGAACCAAACGTCACCAAGCAGAGCGCCGGAAGAAGACTCTCCGCCGTGGACAGCCTGAGTACACAAGCATGAAACATAGGCAGCGGGGTGTTCGATGGGAACCTCATGGACCAATTCTTGTGAGAACCTACGCTTCACCTCTCTCTCGTTTTGCTGGGGCGTTCTCCAGCAAGTTGCGACACGTCTACTGCTATCTATGCCACCACTGTCGTGTTGTTGTAGTACTAGTATTTGCTGCAGCCACCAGATAGCGATGGCGAGCACGCCACTTCATGCTCACTCACCAGTACTCCGCCTGCTCTGCACATGGCATGGTTAGACCTTGCACATGGCGCGACCATTCTCGTCGATGCCCCGTCCTGCTGCTGCAGGCCCTGTTCTTGCTCTCGGTACACTTCATGCCACGTCCGATTATCCACGTCCAAACACCTGTCAGCCATCGTGCACCACCGACATCACAGCAGCGGAGCAGACTCCGTCAGGGTAAGAAATCCGCGCGACACACTTTACGCACAGTGCCATACAACCTGATGACCATCACACCTCCGCTCCCACTCCTGGCGCACTGTGGGTGCTTGATAAGGGTCCACGTTTCAATTTTGGATAACCTCCATCCAGTACTCCGTGCCCATGTGGGACTGACTCAGAGCAAGGATTTCAAGTTCTTCCCATGCAGATCCAACGACGCCAGCCGGGGGGGAAAGTCTGCACCTAGAAACGAAGGGATAGAACATTGTGACAACATCTGCTCGGTAGCTGCGAAATGTTTCCGAAGGATCTTGCCAGATGTTCAGCAACGGCCTTCGACGTCTACCAATGGCATTTCTCCAATCACAATGCAAGAGTTTGACTCCCAAAAAGAGGCTCCGTTCAGTGGTGTCTCTCGTATTTTCAGCCAGGTCGAATCGCGGAGATACCGTCCGTCACAACACCAGCAGTCTTCGACAAATCGCGCTAGGTCGACTGTATGTAGCTTTGTCAAGAAATCAAGCCTCACCAAACAGCGTTGGTCGCATTCCCTTCAGCATCCATACCGCCGAAGACGTAAGCGAAAAGCCCTTCTTCTCCTTCCCCCGCCTCCGTGCCCTGCGGTTGGGGTAGCGTCGCGCTCGGCAGAGGAGGGCCCGCGCAGCCTTTGGGTGTCCATTTGCGGGTTGTAATTGTCGGGGAGAGGGAGAGGAGAGGGTTGCATGAACAGCGTTACAGATCGGGTCTTCGATACTTGTGTCTCGAGCAAAGTGTTCCAACTTCGAGCTTCAGCTGCTGTGTGCTTTCGGGAGGAGTAGTTAGACGTGAATTATTCCGAGCGCAGCTACGAGAGCATGAACGCTAGCCACGGTCGCCACCACCAAATGGTAGGAGGCCGATCGCCTTGGAGCCTTAGGCCTCCCCCGTCTTGTGCGTGAAATTCTTGGCAATGCTTTGAATGTACCCGACCACACGGTTGAGAAAACCAGTCAAGTGTCATTGCGGGCGTTGGATAACGACGGGGTGCTTCATCCGCCACAATTCGGAGTAAGAATGTGTGCCCAAATGAAGCAAAGGAAACCGTACAGCAACACTGGTCCGATGCCGGGGTTATATGGCGTGTTTTCCTGAGATCAACTGCAGGAAACACAATGTCCAAGACAAGCAATGCATGCAGGTTCCGCCCAACGAAATGCAAGCATTTGGATCACCTATTCAAATTCTCTTTTTCCCAAGACACTCAGTGCTCTTTTGTCCGATCTTAACGGCCCACGCTAGAGCACATCGGCAAACGATCTTCTACCACCTCGTTACAAGAGACTCCCCAACTAGCCTAAGCAAGGTACATGGGCAAACGACCTGCTACCACCTCGTCAAAATAGACTCCCCACCTCCCACATGGATGATTGTGCAAAAACCCATGCACGCTTTGCGCCAAGTGCAGCCTCCGTTGTGTAGCACGCGAGCCATACAGAACAGTACAGTACAGTACCTCGGAAGAAAGTCCTCTCCGGCGGTGACGGCCCGCCCGTAACGGAGATTCGGTCCCACTCCCTCCTCTCCAGGTGGAACTCCCAGGCGTCGCTCAGCACGCCCTCAGCGTTGTAGCCTCCGAGAACGATCAACCTTCGCCCGTCCCCGCTGGCAACCGCCACTGGTTGGGGCGGTGGTTTCGAGGCACGCGGTCGTCGAGCGACGGAGCAGTGAAATGAGAGAGGCAGGAATCGTGTCGTGGGCTGCTGCTTTGGTTTCCGGAGGATGGCGTCGCGGTTGTCGGTAAGGAATTGTCTGCCGTGTCACGCATCACTTCCCAGCAACGTAGAAGGATATGTGTGTGTGGAGAATTTGGAAGCAGCAGCAGATGCGCCGCCTGAACTTAAGGCACCAGCTTCTGGCGAACGATTGACACCCTGCGCGATTTGACCATAGGCACTTGTGCAGAGAAATATCGGGAGCAGCCAAAAGCATCGAGTTGTGCTGTACTGCAGTAGCGGCAAAAGCTAGCGACCAAGCCGCACCAAACAGGTTTAACTCGTACTTTGTCGACTCGTGCTCTGTACTGCCGACCTCCGGGGGAGGGCCGTACCAATCAGCATGTGTATATTTCCTTAATAAAAAAAGTGTTCACATAATCTGGACGCCTGTTGTTACCACTTCCTTAGTGTTTTCTCCACCTGTACACTTCACGTAGGCGGAAGGAGGCTTCGGCGTTGTTGTTGTCGTTTCTCACATGAGCTCCATAGTCCACAAAAATGGGAAGCCGGTGGTCTCAAAACCCGGCACATACGACGCCGCGGGGAAACAAAACTTGAATGGGGTACAAAACACTCGGAAAAAGAAAACAAAATGATCGAAAGAAAAGAACAGGTACCGCACCGACCGTTCGAGAAAAGAGCCCTCGGAAACCGATCACAATAATACAAAAACAAGATTTAAGGAGGACGCTTCCCACACCCGCCTAAAGAAAAATCACAGGGTAACGTACCAGCACCAGGCACTACTTACCAGGGCATTGGAGTAACGGAGCAAACAGGACAAAGAGGCGGCAGATGGGCAGACCGCCAGATGTACAAAAACAAAAGCAACAGCAAAAGCGAGATCAAGGTACCCAACACAGCAGAGTAGGCAGGGAGGGGGGTGTACTCATAGTCGTGCATGCCGTAGTCGTTAGACCATTGACCTCGCATCCCTACAAAGCCGGGACGGAGCACGCCGGGTTCTCACCGGACCAGGCTCTCACATCACCAAGCGCGAAGCGCCGTGAGATATTCGGCGAGTCGCATGAAGGGTGCGCTGCATCCTGCTAAGGGTTTTCGGCATCTTGTGCTTACTTCCTTGCATACGGATGACAGCTGCGTAAGCCTTCATTTTCTTTCTGGTGCTTTCACTTCCTGAGACAGTTGTAAGCACTGTGTAACTGCCTCGAGGGTGCTTGACCATTTTAACACAACGTGGTGCGATCATCCCCTTGCGCGGAGTGAGGATTCTCAACCTCGCACAACATTATCTACTCGGCCACCATTATGGTTACCGCCAAAACAAAAACAGAGGTAAAAAAAAACAACGGTAATCTGGTTGCCGAGTTCACCCAACCCCGATGGCAAACACCGGGGGCGGCGGCTTGTTTTACAACGTCGTTGCCAAGCGACGAAAACCCAATCCCGATGGCAAACACCGGGGGCGGCGGCTTGTTTTACAACGTCGTTGCCAAGCGACGAAAACCCAATCCCGATGGCAAACACCGGGGGCGGCGGCTTGTTTTACAACGTCGTTGCCAAGCGACGAAAACCCAATCCCGATGGCAAACACCGGGGGCGGCGGCTTGTTTTACAACGTCGTTGCCAAGCGACGAAAACCCAACCCCGACGGAAAACACCGGGGGGGGGGCGAGGAGGACATGAAAAAAAGAAACACAGCACAGAGGCCGAAGGCAATACAAAGGACATACATAAAGGAGTATAGCATACAGCAGGGAGGGAAACAGGGCGCAACAACATTAGCCGGGTACATAGTTCGCCACAAGTGCTGCCTCGGCCGCCCTACTCGCTTCTACAGCAGTGCCCGGTCGCCGTTTCTTCCCCCCCACCGCCGCTTCCCCGACTCTCTTTCTCTTCGGTCCTGAGATGGCCGTACTCTCTGCTTCTGCTTCCCTCGCGCGCTGGCGCTTCGCGGACGCTTCCGCCTCCTGCCTGTGCCATTTCCTCATGAGCCATGCCGCCC